AGCATGCATTTAAGGTACTAGATCTCGCAGCATTTGGCCTGATTCCTTTGGAGTGCATGTGCTTGGTCTCTTGACAGGGGTGCATCACCTTCCAATGTTATATGATTGCTCTTTCAACATGACCTTTAGTAAAAGACTACTACTTCTTAAGTAATCTAGGGAGAAAGGAATTTCTCTGAAAACTACTCATCACTGTTTCTCCTTGCTAATTTTGACTTAGCTTGTAGTGGAAAATAGTTAATATTCTTTGAAGAATAAGATATTGCATCATGTATGTCGTGATTTAACAGGATAGGAGAGCCCGGTAATAGAATCCTGAAACTGTATCTATTATTCAATATTTGACCAAAACTCCTCTCTTTCCTGGGTGTGATCGATTGACTTTTTGATCAAACAACAAAACATACTGGCTTCTCTTGTTTGCATGTTAGTTCTTGATTGGTTCCTTGCTTTGTTTGTCCTCTTAGCATTGAAGAGGAAGTATAAGCTCATTTGTTCTTCATTTCTTCAACTCGAGGATTTCCTGTCTGTTCTGATTCAGAATTTTGATGCAATGATTGGTACATATCAGGCTCAAGCTATGTTCAAGATATTGAATAAAGATCCACCTATACCTGAAACCTTGTCACCAGAGGGAAAAGATTTCCTTTGTCATTGCTTTCGAAGGAATCCAGCAGAGCGTCCATCAGCTATGATGCTACTTGAGCATCCTTTTGTGTGCAAGTCAAGCGATCTTAATGTGTCAGCAAGCAGAGCAGCAATACCTGCAGTGAACCTTGAGGTGAGCATCAGACACTAGTTCTTTAATCTATTGATCTAAAAGAATTTCATTATAACCTAAACGTGTGCACAAAATTATTATGCTAATTCTTTGGGGTGCCTTTTGTAGGATAATTCACAGAGTTTGAGAGACCACACCGCGGAAAATGATGTGTCGCCAACCTCCCCAGGCATGTGGATGAGGAACCATCGACTGCCAAGTAGCAGGTTATGTATTTATTTGCAACCACTACTAGCAAAATATTTGCTTAAGAATTTCACTCTCCAGTTGCTAGTTTCATAGATTATAATTATTTTTCTTTTTGTGATTGTACACCCACAGTGAGACTAGTCAGCAAAGCCATGCTTACACATTCAACTGTGCTGCAACTTCTCATAACCCACCTTGTTCAACACTCGAAGCTCGCCCTTATCTATTGGCAGCACAACTAGTTCATGGTTCACATAATTTCATCTCTTCTTCAAATGTTTCTAGCAATGTGCATTTAAGGAGTCATGGAAGGGAAATTCCACATATCTGAATCATGTGTTGATTGTCATGAGATAAGAAAGCAAGGTAGAAGCAAAGCTGCAAAGGTCCAATGGAGATTCTCATATTGCCATTAGAACATCTGGTGACTCACATTTGATTGGAGGTTCGATTTATTATTTCTGAAACCTCCTGAAAATATTTCCTCATTCTTCGTTAGGTTTAGTGTTTATATAAATATAAAGGATTTACGATTCAAAGGATAATTGATGTATATAAAAATAGTGTACAACAATGTAACAGAAAAAAAGTTTAGAAGAAATGCATTGATTATTTGTAAGCATGTTTGGTGAAAATAACTACATATTTCAGACTAATTGTAGATTATAATCACAGGTATCTTCTTTTTCCCAGATTTTGATTCGCTTAACGATTCTTGGTTCACCTGGTTATTTTTTAATACCATGGTACGCCATGTAATAAATGAAATTTGTTGGCATAGTTGTCATTTCTAGCTCCGAGACTAGTTGTCATTTCTAGCTTGGAGACTAGCTTGGGAAAAAAAGCTTGTGTTATTAAATCATCGAGTTAATTCATAGGTTAACTGGTTCAACTTGAGTTAATATTTTTTGAGATTCAACTGAAAACCTAGCTCTCGAGGTAGGTTTTGAATCTCAAGTTCTAATATACTAGGTTAGTGCAGGTTTAATGACTATATTTGGTATCTGTTAAGGCTTAATAACGAGGAAGTGTCCATTTATAAGTGTCTAGATGACCTGGAATAAATGATCTTTGAATATTCACCACGTAGGTCAGATTCCTGTTTAGGCCGACATTGTTACTGTTCTTGACCACCTTTCTGCCAGTGGAACGAATTCTACTCTCTGCGTGTCTTTTTTTTTTTTTTTGGATGTGAGAATTATCATTGTCTTGCTGGAACCCATCTATGTTCATTCTTGGAACTCGTGAAAATATTAAAGACAGAACCCGTTTAGGTTTCCTATGAATTATTAAAGACAGGTGAAAATATTAAAGACTGAACCGAACCCGTTTTGGTTTCCTATGAATTATTAAAGACAGAACTCGTGAAAATATTAAAGACAGAACTGCAGTGCAAGGCATGAGAGTGTTTATTGGAGGGAATGGTGATTGTGGTGTTTTACTGGTGTTGTCAAAGGTATGCATGTGTATGTGCAAGGGATGGTCGTTGAGATGGATAAAGAAGTTTGGCTTTTGCTTACTGATCAACTAGCTACTGCACCACATGTTCGTAGAGAGGGTGCTATTCTAGATTTTCCAAATTTTTTATCTGAAATACTTCAACTTATACAATTGATTTTGATGTTAACTAATGAGAGCAGTGACAAGGCTTTTCTCACTATTTGTTCATATTTCAGATATACATGCAGAGTATCATGTCATATACTCTATTCAAAGCTTGAACTTTCTTTGGTTTGCCTGTTGATTGAGTCATGAACTCCAACAAGAATTTGAAGTGATCTGGCATTGCTAGATAGTCTTACACTAGTTGACGTAGGGTGGCCGAAATTTGAAAATGATGATCTCCCATGATAGCCCACGCTTATATTTGGCATCTCTAACTGCTGTACTTTCCTTTTCTCAGACGTAGAGAAATGCAAAATTGTAATGTTCGGTAGACTCAACCAGGGTATTTGTGTTTTGGTGTTATTTTAAGGTGTCCTTGATCCATACGATTCGATTATTTGGTGCCCGATTCATCATCCAGACTAAAGTCCAAGACAAAGGTTGGGTGCCTGACAAAACGATTTTCACTAATGAAAGGATCCTTAAAACACAAGGTAGATTCTACTGTGCTGGTACCAGTGCTTGAGCCCTTGTTCATAGGCTTTGGAACCACAGGACCGGGGGATCGTTGGTAATTTCTACTATGACTTTCTAAGATAACTTTAGCCAGTGGTGTCTGTTCTGGACAAACCATGTCTGCTATCATAATTCTTGGGGCCAATGGTTAAGCAGAAAGCATGGAGAAGGAGGAGCTTGTCCTCTCATAACCGCAAGCAACGGACAGAGCTTTAAAATGTGCATCGTCACATCTTTAGGTAAACTGCACGTCCAATAGTTTCCTGCTTGGTAGAACGATGACTGGTTTCTGTCAAACTAATAAAATCCTGGGGACGGTTTCCGTAAAGAAATGGGCGGTCAAATGTTCATGAAATTTAGAATGTTGCTCTCCGTTCATTATTTTCTCGGCAGAGCATACCTCCCATGAATTTCAGAACTTGATCTGGTCTTCTGACAATGAGGTACTGGTGGTAATCAATTGAACCTCACTTTCGAATGCACTGGTGGTGGTGGACCATCGGCGGCTATCAAATCCATTTTGATTTTTCACAAGGGCAATTACCGAGACACTAGTTTCTTGGGTCGTATGGCCCAACTCACAGTACCATTTGGGTCGGATTTTACTTGATAAATCTAGTTACTAAACATCTGATTTATAATATTAATATTTAACATAAAACCCAATCACAGTTTTTTTTTTTTAAATATGTTTTTAGGAATTAAAGAGGGTTAATCAGTGTGGGCTACGGAGTTATAGACAGTGGTGTGCATGCACAATGTGCTAGGGAGTGGCACTTTGAAATTGAAATTGAAAATGGTTGAGGTTGTTTTGTTTTTCATGGCATCTTATTTACGGCATTTTCTAAAACTTGTTTATTTATGGTTAATAAAATTAATTCATAAAATATCTTTCCAGTTTTTTTAAAAAATATTTTTAAATTTTTGATAAAAAATAATTTTTAAAAATTATAAAAAATTTAAAATTATATTGTTGTTTATATCAAGTTTGATTATCAATCTTTTAATTGTTATATGTTTTGTTTTGATTTTATTTTATTTTATTTTTATACTAGCTTTGATTTTATTTTTTTATTTTTTTAATTAATTTTATTTATTTATTATATTTAGTTTTTATTTTTTAATTATTATTTATTTTCTTAAAATTACTTCCAAAAAATACAAAGAAAAGAGAGAGAGAGAGAGAGCCCATCCAGCGAATACAAGGGGCTTAAAAGTAACAGGATTGTCCTGCAAAAGCTGGCAGACGTTTTTATGAAAAGAGCTTGTGTAGAAAAAGGTCCTGGACTTTTTACTCAGTCATTTCCTTCAGATTCCCTGACTTTTCTGATTACTTTCTCCTTTTCCCTTTGTCCTCTTACCGTCCCAAGGTTCTTTACTCAATTTTTGTACCTATAAAATAGGGAAACTCATGACCTATGCCACTGGGTAGATCCATGGCCTCTCTCTTTTGTTTGAATTATTTAGACACAATCTCTCTCCCTCTCAGTCTCTTGAGACCAGTAAAATGGTATTCGTTTCATTTAAAGCTTTAAAGCTTTAAAGCTCTGCTACATTGAGCCCATTTGTGCTTCCTAGTTCCTTCTCTATCTAGTCTTTTCTCTTCCGGTAAATTTCAAGCTACATGTCGATGGTACCACTCTGTTATAGCTCAAGAGATTCAGCTCAAAAGATCTTGCTCTTCCGTGTTTGAGAAGCTCGAAAATCCGTTAGGTTTTGTTTCTTTTCAAGAGCTATTAACTATTCGAAAACAAGACACACAGGTTCTTTATCTGTGCATTGGCTTTTCCTCCATGTCCCCTCGCATTTTCAAGTTTAAATCTTTTCGAAACCCAAGTCTATTTTCACTGATTTAAAGCATTTCTCTTTCAAGTTCAATAAGAAGCATTTCAAGGGTAGCTGGCTAAAAATGTCAATGCTGTTAGACCAGCAACCACCACCAATGTCTGTAACCCCGCAATCTTTCAACACCTACTCAACGCACGCTTCAATTGGTCCGGCTATTGCAGTACTTGTAGTGATCATGGTCTTTGGTGTACTTGCTGTTATGGTTGGAAGGCTCTGCTCGGGAAGGAGAATCATGGGTTATGGCCAGTACGATATGGAGACTTGGGCAGAGGTAAAATGTTCTTCCTGCATTGATGGAAGGATTAGCCCCCCACTTTCGAGGTCAAGCGTGCCTGCCACCTCTAGTTCAGCCCCGACGCCTGCCGAAACCCAACAAGAAACCAAGCACGAAGAGCAATCTCCTCAACACCCACCTGAAAATCTTGATTCTTAAACGTGGGAGGTTTGACTTGTTACTTGAATGCATGTGTTGGAGCATTGCTGCTTATGAACTGTAACGATGAGCACATTTTATATCTCTTCGATGTCATTGTATATCAAAGGAAAATTGCGGTTGCTTCAGTAGTGGCACCATTTTTTTGGGCGAAAATTATCTCGTTGAGGAAGATTAGTACCCATTTGTTTTGCTCCTTGTAGTCTCAAGAAGATTTGACTTGCATTCCATTCCCACTCTTAACTTATTCCTTTTGCCTACTAAAGCGAGAAATGGCTTTATTCCAGTGTCATGCATATGATAATTTATTCTTTGAATTTATATATCATTATTGCTTACGAATTATGACGATGAGTACATTATGAGATGTTGACATTGCTGGGGAAGGCCACATGGGTTGAACTAAATTACTGCTTCGGCCTTGGCACCTTTTATGTGGTGGATTACTTGCTTCCTTTCATGTTATGGAATCGAAAACCAGGAGAATTGAGGTTTTCTTTTACCTTGTTCACTGTTATAGTTTTAAGAAGATATAGCATATATTCCATTTCCGCTAAACATTGTTCTTTCCCCACTAAAGCAGAAACATTAGCCTCCATCACAAAATCCCATCCCAGGAACCAAAGGATCTGCTGAGATTCAGAGCACCAGGGTAATAACCCAGACACAGTGGAAACTGGCAGTTCACATTTATTTAGTATAAGGCTATTTTAACTAGTGAATTAGATTCTAAGAATTTCCAGCATAAATCCTGTGGCACTGGATACATAGTTTTCATCCCTTAATCTCTTCGTATTTCTGATTCTTATCGATACCCAATCAGCTTACTAACTCCAAAAATTCCTACACTCTTGCTCCCATGCCATGAGAAGAAACAAGTACGCTTTCCTAAGACAAACAAAACAGTCTTGGAGGCCGGTGAATTTGTTTTGCTGAAGGACAGAAGCCACCAGGGAAAACAAGGAAGCCACCTTAAGGTTTTTTCAACAACAAAAATATTAACTGAATGAATGTCTGCTATCATTTTGATCTCGTGCCTAGCTTTCCTCAAATTGACTCCAGTTCACTCGAAAATCTACAACACTAAATACCTACGAAACCAAACACGGGGTTAGAGACTTGCTGGAACCCCGCCAGTATTGAAGCAATATGATCAACATAATTCTAGGACCAGCTGTCTGGTGTATTGTTAGTACTATATCTATTATATTAGGGTCCATTATACAAAACCCATTAGGGTTAGCTAGGGTTAGCTGTCCACATCTCTATATATATGCAATAAACATATACATATTTATTATTAAAGTGAGTACACGACAACAACTATAAGATTATAGCTCATTGTTCTATTAGAATTATGCATGATCATATTGCTTCGATAGCCGGAACAAGAAAGCTACAGCTAATATACTTGTAACAACAAAATCTATGGCTGTTCATTGGGTTAAAGAAAGAAGGTGGAAAGAATAAGGACAGAAAAGGATGCATTGCTGTAGTTGCTGATGTTCAAACTTGTAAGCGTAGGCATACAATCATCTTCCTGTGGCTGTTCGCCAATCTAGACACTAATTTATCCTTGTCTAGGAATTGTAATTCAAAAATGTGTCTCGTATAAACTTACATGGTAATTTTATCTGTTCTGAACACAAAATATAGTCAACCACTATTATTCTGTGCCCGTTTTATTTTGAGAAGATGAGAGAGGCCAGCAACTACATGTAGTCGACTGCTTGGAATTCCTGTCTTTGCCAGTGCCCTCCCATTTTGGTCCAGCAGAACAAAGCAAGGTACGTATTTTATGTCATAATGAAGTAGCTGAAGACAAACAATAAAATGTAATCAGTCAGCACATCATAGCAAACTAATGCCCATTCAAGTCTTAGAGATTACACCAGGTTAAAAACTTAAAAAAAACAGAACTGCTATGCGTATTGATATTTGTTTGTGTTGTGGGGTAGTCTCATCATCAAGTCAAAATTCCACTAGCTCAACTGCAGGCTTATGATGGTGAAGGTTTATGGTAGCGAGAGGTGTTATGATAGCAAGATGATTAGTAGATGAAGATGAGCCAGGAACAGTATATGTAAGTTTGTGGATGCAATGAAAAGGAGCATCAAGAAGTTATGACAACCAGCTATGCACTAAACTCCAAAGAATGTAATTCTCAGAAGCAGCTTTCTCTGACTCCTGGCCTACACCTCCAACTATGTAAGATGTTGATCAAAGCAGTAGGTAAGAAGACTACCAAATCTTAATGTCACAACCTATAAAAGATCATTGCATCACTCTATTCGTTCAATGCTGTTTTACTTTTAATCATTATCTAAAATGCCAAGAATCCTAAAATTACAAGCAACACAATAAAATTAGATCCCGGAGTTCTGTTTCTGCTTGCCACAGAGAGATCACAGAGCCATCTGTGTGGCAATGGGAAATGATCAAATCTAACAGCTCCATCACATAACAAAACAATGTTATTGTTGCTCACAAAGCAGAATTGGACAAAACTAAATAACAGCACCAATTAGGGAATTCCTCATTTTACACTTGAGATTTTCAAATTCCCACCTTTTAAAACAATATAATCAGGAGGTGAGTGCAATACCTCAGGCAGCCATTTCTCGTTCTCTGCATCTGCCATTACAACATTGAGCCAACTTGAGTTTCTACCCTCTACCTCCAGGACAAAATTAAGCAAAGAGTTGCACAACCTGCATCTAGGCGAATAAAACTCAAGCACCGTAGCCTCTTTACCACTTGCCAGTGCCGAGGCAAATGCTCTCTGCTCTGCTTCTCCTTGCTCTTCATGAGTCAAGACCCTTTTTTCATTCTTCAAAAAGTTATCTTGGCCAGTTCTCGCACCCAGATTGATAGGATTAAAACTATTGATCCAAGAATTAGAGGATTCTGAAATCGAGTTCAACGAATTAAGCGCAACGGATCCCAGACTCTGCAAGGACCTGAAAAGCCAAGGACTTTCTAAGGTACAGACTTTCCCATTTTTCGCATGTCGATCAACATCCCACGGCCATTTCAGACAAAACAAAGATTTTTTAGTAACAGGATCCATTTTCACCTGATTCTTTTCCGGGGTTACAGAACCTAAGCACCAAGACTTTCAGAACCCAACACTGAAACAGTTACTAGATTTACTGCATGGTATAAACAAATAAGACAGTGAGACAACATGCAGACAAGTACTAAGATTACAAAGTTAAGTATGCAATGAGCCTTGAAGGTTCCTTTAAAGAACAAAAACCACCAAGCATAAACCCTAAGCTAAAATTAACATATTGGAACTCAAAGAATTAAACTTTGATAAAAATTTAAAACAGATTGGTGTGTCTGGATCCATACACATACCTTCTGGGTTTTCCAATTGGCATTAAAAACAAAGAAAATTCTGTGTGAGAGAGTGAGAGGAAGAGATGGTGTAACAAGCCAAAGCAAGTACTCAACGAGGACGAAGAAAGGGCACAGTAGCCATGATAGATGGCAGCAAGAGAACAATGCACATATTGGGCTGTGATCTAACTGTGGGCTTAGCTTCGATTTCACACCGGCCTGCTTTAGCGCTAACAATAGTAGTAACTTCTATTTATGTCAAATATTTATTTATATTCTTCTTGTTTTTTTCTTAACAAATATTCTTTAATTTTCGTACTCTACAAATTAGTTCCACCAATCCTTTTCTGAATTTTTTAAAGCCAACTTTCAAAAAAACTTGGGATTTCTTTCGGGCTGTAATCTTACAATGATGGGTTGCCAAGTTGTGCTAATCCTACCTTTCGTATGAGCCCACCTTCCGAGTAGTCTAGAAGTCCTTTCTATTTCTTCTTTGTTTTAGCAAAAATATGTTTTTAGTTGGAGAAGAATGGAAACGGATTTCAACATTAAAAGATGGGCTTGCGAGTTTTAAGGCAGGAGGAAGCACCGGAAATTGACCGCTAATGAAGTAGTTGTTTTTCGGTGACCGTAATTCTATCCTAATCATGATAATATGGCTTCGAAATCTTCTAGTTGGTAGATGAAAATTGACCAAACCTACGATGACTAGCTAATATTCCTTCCTTATTAGCTAGAAATTCATTAATTTGCCTAACCCTTTTAAATTCAGGTTAATGAGGTTCTCTCGAAACCTATAAAAACTTTTATCACGAATAAAAAAAACAGTTAACCACAAGATTTAATCAAATTATCTTGGAAGGTAATTGAATAGACATCTATCAGGCAAGAGGATCAAAGTTTTCTTTTTCTTTCCATCCTTTTTTGCAACTCCTCTTTCCCGATTACAATGGAGGATATGCAGAAAGAAGCATGCTAAAACCAAGCCGAAGTGTTTTTTATTCTTTAAAAGTAAACCTTAACATTGAAGCCATGATTGAACCTTCGAAAATTAGAACTGGGAAATAGAAATCAATTCTCCTACCCAATCATGACAAAGCCCCAGCATTTCTTTCAACACGCATAAGATTTTAGAAGAAAAATATGCTTAAAAATCAATTCAATACTTTTCAATCGCATAAATTAAATTAAGATAATTAAACAAGATTTAATTAGATTTATCCCTTGAATTGTATATGAAGAATGTTGGAGGAGGTATGTGTTGGGAAAACTAACAATAACTGGATATTAATTTATCCGGATCAATTCAATAGAATACAATTCACAATTTATAAGTTTCAATCTTTTTTATTCTTTGTACAGTAAAAATAGAATTAAACAATAACCAAATGTAATACAAATAATTATATAAATCAACACCAAGATTTTAATATGGAAAATCCGATGCGGAAAAAGGCACATGACCGTGGTCCATCTAAAAATTTTTACTATCAACAAATAATGGATTCACAATTATTTTTTCTTAAATTCAATTAAGGGATACAACATATATATCATCAAGAACAACTTATTCTCGAATTACAACAAGATTAAAGGAGAATTATTTGAGAAAAACTCACAATATTGACAGCCCTATTTTCTATCAAAACGGTCAGCTTCTACATCACCAATCTTCTATTCAACCGTTCAGAATGAAGAATAACGTGTCTAGAAGCTGCTATCAAAATCTCAGTCCGATCCAACAGTGAACGAGCTGAAAATCAAAGGAAGAACACAAGCTGCTCTGCTGTCTCTTTTTCTTTCTCTCTCTTGATTTTCTTCTCTTCTCTTCTTCAAATTTGTTATGGCGTCTGCAGTAGCTGAACCATTATTTTAAAGAGAGCCAACTGCCTTTCTTCTTAATTAATATAGTGGTCCTACCATTACATAATACAGGACCACACAGAACATTATACCTCTATTTAACAAAAGACTTGAGAGAAAGTTAATAGTCAATTAAGACTAAGTTTATTCTTGAGTAATTATAAAAGAATGGCAACCATATTAATTTGATTGATGTATTTGAATAAATATAGTAAATCTTTATGGATATTAATTCTAATATTTAAACCCTAAAAATTAAGAAATGGGACAAATTTTTCGTAGTCGCTAGATCAAACTCGTGAGATTAAAGTTCGAATAATTTTATAGGATTGATGGAGAGTTTTGTTGTTATTAATTGGTTCGATCCAACCCGCATTCAAGCGTATTCCTAATATTGAGGATTTTGAAAAGAAACGAAAAACACAGGAAAAAATTGAACTTTTCAGTACAAATAAAGGTTTACAATACGCATTATAAAGAATTAAGAAGAGAGAGAGATATTTAATTCAATAGTATCATCAACTTAATTATTTTCAGTCATGACAATGGAATTTATGGCTTATGAATCACACCACTAGCCTAAATCCGCTGTTGTCCAAACGTGAAGTAGACAAGACATGAATGGAACAAATCAAATGTTATGCCGAAATCGAGTTGAAATGCTAAAAAGCATGTATATGGTGAAACTAATTGATAGCACTGACTAGCATAAACGTTTCTAAAGTAACTTGGTCATGCTAATTTCTTGGATCAAGTATCTGCATTTTGAAATAAATAAATAAAAACTATAAGTTAATTATAACCTCTCGACCCTCTCCCCCCCCCCCCCCCCCCCCCCCCACTATAATTGATTGCAATCTCAGTTTTATGCATGCATATTCAATAGTTCTAAGTTAAATAATTCAGCCACTCTGTATAGGAGGGCCAAGACCGGGTTCCTTTGCTTAACAATGTAGTGAAGCGTGATTGAAATTACATTTTATCTTGATAATAATTTTAAAGGTATTTGAATCATCAATATATATTATAATCTTATAAAATTCTACAAAACTCTTTGTTAAAACTTTAAAACTTTTATTAGGGATAAAAAGCTACCATTTATTGCTTTCCACAAAAGCTGTCATAATGAGAAACACACATTTACAAAAGGAGAGGATATCATGTGAGCAAGGACCCTGCATCTTCTTGTGCATAAATTATTAAAATTACTATTATTTAGCACATTTAGAACATGCATGCCTTTGCAGCTTTCCTCAAATATAAAATCCACAAGTGTCGTTATAAAGTGGGACAACAGCTTTGTGAATATTTGCTTCGAGGAAGAAGGAAACAAAGGTGCTCCTGTGTCTCATGTTCTGGATTCAAACCCTTCGTGGAAGGCACTATTGCTGATGATATTCTTCTCGATCTTGAGCCTCGAACAGTTTTCTTTGAAGTTGCTGTGGTACTAGTTAATTACATTTCCTACTCGGATAAAATAAATTAAAAACAAACAGCTCGTGAACGATAAGCATTGCCAATATTTATCTCGAGAATTTACAATTTTGATTAAAAAAAAAAGATATTAATACAGATTAACAATGCCTTGATCTACTGGCAAGATGGTGACAAACAGTAATGATCTGACGGGTGATTGTTAAGGTTCATGTACTAGCTCTGAATCTATCAGATATGTTGCTCAAGTCTAGCTTAATTGTCTGGATTTCCAGGATAAGTCTGATCAAGTCAGAGCCGGTGAGAGTTGATGCGCCATGTAAATAATAATTTAATATCTTCATTTAACAATAAAAATAAAAATAAAAATAAAAATAAATAAGATATATTTATCTACTATATTTTATAAAACAAAAATTACTCTTGCCTAATAAAAAATTCCCAATTGCAAAATAAATATTATTCAAGACATTCTTATTAAAGATACATAAAAAATAATTTTTAAATACTTTAAAATATTCTATTTATAATTTTTTCCTATACTCTCATCCAACTTCGTTTTAAATTAGCTCGTATCACGTGAGATGCAACATAAGGCGTGTCTGGTCTTCCTTATAATAAATGTTTTTCCCCAGTTAATGAGATTTCAAACTCCTACTTTCTATTATATACAAAGAAATCCTCTTATTTTCTTTCAAATTTTTTTCTTCAATCCCTTTTCCATATAAATTCCTCAATGTCTTGGGTTGAGATTATTAAGATTCTCAATTTTATTTTCTTTATAGGATATTCTCAAAACTCATTCTTATTTTTAAACGATAACTCATAATTCTTCCTCTGTTTTTTCTCTCTCTCTCGACAATGTAAAAAACAAGGGAGCATATACATCATCATAAAAAAAATATGTACATACAATAAGGAAGAGATTTTCAATCCCTCCCTTTCCCACTAGTTTCGAGATTCATTCTCAAAAATATTATTTCTAGATTAATCAGATGAAGAACCTATGGAGTTAATAAAATCTAAGAATATAATGAGTGATCGTGAGTGTGGTATGGCTTTCTTTTTTAATGCATTTCACTTAAAAATAATGTAAGAATAGTTTTTCCAAGGCAAAATAATTAAAATCCATTCCCGTCATCCATTGGAGACAGGCTGTAATGAAACATAGATTGTAAAAATTTATCCAAGGCCACAAGTTCAGGCACTCATCAATCTTCATCTCACATTTTAGTAAAAAAAAATAAAAAAAATTAACATAATGATCATATTAAGTGTTAACACCACCGAATTAATCAAATTAACAACACCAGGCATGGCTTCGATCCCCTCTTCTCTAATTTAGTCCCAACTAATGAAAGCCTGAGCTACTCTCGGACAAGTTAGAGCTCACATAGTCCCTTACTTCCCTTGCAATAACATCCCTCATCACATCCCAAAATCCAGCAGGCAAACTCTCTGGCCTCCTCTCCGCCACCATTCCACCACTATTACCACTGCCTCCACCACCAATCCCTGGCGGTGCGAGAGTCAGCGTGGTTAACGCATCCTCCTCTTCTCTCATTATGGTATCCGGCATAGATCCTGATGCTACATTGATATCAATGGCATTTCCTTCATTGTGGTTACCATAGTTACTATATAAATTACCTTCCAAATTCATCTGACTCTGGCGTTCTCTTGCCCTTCTTTTCAACGTGGAGTTCCAATGGTTCTTGACCGCGTTGTCGGTCCGACCTGGCAGCAACCTGGCAATGGTGGCCCATCGATTACCAAACCTGGCATGAGCAGCCAGGATTGTTTCATCTTCAACTGGAGAAAACGGACGGTGCTCCACATTTGGGCTTAACTGATTGCACCACCTAAGCCTGCATGATTTTCCAGACCGACCCTTTATGTAACGGCTTATTAAGGACCAGTTTCTTGGTCCATGTTGCTCAACAAGCCTTGTCAAAATCCTGTCTTCCTCTGCACTCCATGGTCCTTTAATTCTTTCAGATTTATTGGCGCTTCTTGGTGTTTTATTTCCATTGAAAGAAGAATCCGAAGAGGAAGAATCTGAAGAAGAAGTAGAGCACATGTTCCCTGCTTCCATGATAATTAAGATCACGAAGGAGCTTCAAAGAAAAAGAGAGAGAGATTGAGTAAAGGGGTTGGCTTTGAGAGTGGACGAGAGACAATAAATCGAGTTGCAGGATTGAAGGGGCTTATATACGGAGGAGGAAAGAAATGGGGATAGAAAGAGAGGGAGACAAGGAGATGCATGCACTTGGTTCGGTACCCCATAGACAGAGAGGGGTCTTCCAGGAAACTGGCTTTTGTAAAGTTGGTGGGGAGTGAAGACCAGGAATAGGTGCGTACTCTCGAGGTCGAGTTTTGTTTTCGAGATTTCTTTTCTGCTACCAAATTTTGTTGCAGGTCGGATTCTGTTTTGTCTGCTCTTTTTTATTTGACCATTTTGGGCCTCCGAAGGTTTATTCAAGTGTGGAGAAAACAAGTAATGCGAGGAAAGTATTATTATAGTAGAGAATTCCGAACACAGATGACTTAATTTGTGTTACATGTGTCCCTGTACACATGTTATGTACAGGGACACATGTTTAGTTGCCAAATTACGTAATTTTACATAACCATCACACAATTATAAGTTAATCACTAATTAGAATGTACTGAAAAGAATTTCCAAAAGCAAAACAATGGTGTGGTTCTCAAAACTCGTTATTAATACACATTTCACAATTTTTTTAATACTCCTTTTTAATGAATTTAAGTTGTTTATTTTTTATTTGGAGATTTTTTTTTTTTAATAAAAAGCTTGACTCGGATTATATTTAGGAATAATGATTCTAACTTTTTAGCAAAGTTTTGAAGTTATAAATCTTGATTCGATTCTGTGTACTAACCTAGTGATTTGCAACATGTTTTATTTTAAGTATTTTTTTTGAAAAAATTAATCATAACTTAGACTAATCTTTCTATTCATGGTAAATTATCAAATTTATTTAAAAATATATTAAAATAATATTTTTTATTTTATTTTTGTTATTATCTTATTGAAATAATCTAAAATATTTAAAAAATATTTTTTCTTTTAAATGACGACGTTGGAAAAATCAAAACAATCACATCCTCAAACATAAAAAGCTTTGTGGTGCGAGAAAATTAAAAACAATAATAAAAACAGGTTCAAGAGAGTGAATCTAAGGGGCAATCTTGGGATTTGGTTGAGACCAGGCAATCTCGATGCAGAAAATAAAATTAATAAAAATCATTCGCGTCCTCCAGACTCCCACTCTCTCTCTCAGCATGGCTTATCGTTTATAAACAAGAGAGGAGAGCGTTTTTACCCAAAAAAAAAGATGAGAGAGAGAGAGAGGAGCGTTTAAAACATGACAGGAAGGCCAGAGCTGTTTAACACAAAACAAACGTTTTAAAACGGAAAGTGGGGTCGAAACCTTTTGACTAGATGGCTAGATTTACAGCTGGTGAGTCCAAATCCATAGCCTCAGTAACTGGAATCAACGGCTCCGATCAACCGTTTCAAAAAAGAGATACTGTTGAGAGGAATCCCTTAAATTATTAGTATTGGCTTTTTCAGGAGGATGACTTTTACGTCTTCCACGTAGGACGGTCCCACAGCCAGCCTGTGCGAATCTCACGTGATTCGTGTTAAATCCCCTTGACTTTGTTGTCTATTCAACAAAAGTAACTTACTTACTCCACTCTTCCCTTTGGAGCGTCCGTGTCACAGCCCTTAATTGCCCCTAAATACTCGGTTATTAAGCCTACGTTTCTTTTCCAATCCAGTTCGTGCGGTATGTTCTGCGGACTGTGTTTTATCTTCTGTAATTATTTTAAAATGTTTTGTTGATTAATATATATTATAGTTTTGCTCCATTTCTTTTTTAAAAAAATCTTAGTTAAAAAAAGTTAAGTCCCGAGATGTTCCACGGTAATTTATAGATCCTCTCAAGTTTAATTTCTAAATTACAATAGTAAAAGTTATTATAATATTAAATATACACCGAACTTGTATTTATAAGTCAACTGATTAGCCTGGCTGTCAAGTCGGCTCAATACCCTGCTAAATCAAAATCTAACCTGAATTGTGTTTTATTTCAAACTTTGAAAATTAACATGATGGTATTTAAGTTTAAATTAACTAGTCAAATTTGAAATTTGATTGAGATTCAATTGACTTAATTTCAAGAGTTTTCTAAATATATTTTATTGAAAATAATATTATTTCCTTTGAGATAAATTAAAATCATATTATTTTATTTTTTTATCTAGTAAATTCATGACCGAGAACTCGAATTAGTTCGAGTACACTCGTTTTTTTCATCTTGATTGATGTTTATAAAAAATTACAAACCAATGCCAGCACTATCATGAATAATACAGAACACACCAGGGCAAAAATACCTCATTGTTTGTTTCTGCTTCTTTACATTGCGATGCCACTTAGAGGTCATCGATAATTTTTTTTCAAAATTGAGATTAAATCCGAATTTGTTGACTTACATAGAGGTGTGATCCTGTGAGTTAAAAGTACAACGATAATTGAATTAAAAGTACAATTATTTTCAACAGGTCATTTTAAAAGTTCAAGTTGAATGAATTAACAAGGTAGACAGAGAATATGATAATTACTGATATAAACTTCAATTCGGAAATCTCATACATGTCAAGACTGATCGACTCGTAACTTTACAAAAAAAATTAAAAATTTCATAGATATTAAAATTGATTAACTCATAAAATAATTCAGACATCTCACTTGACTCATAAATTAACAAAATAATCTACTTTATATTTAAAAAAATAACCAGAAAAAAAATTATTAGGCAAAACAAAAGATATATTTAAAGTAAACACTAATTTCAAAATAGACTTTAAATCAACAAATCATCAGATTAATATCTGAGATTGTCTCTCGTGCATCTTGAAGTCCCTGAAAAACGTCGAAGTAATTTGGCCGTGGATATATAATGAGACTGAGAAATACGCGCTTTACAACAATGAGATTTAAGCAACCCCACAAAATATAAACGGGTCGGCATCATGATTACATCCCAGCCGCCCACGTGTCAATATTAATGGATTTTTGGAGCCTTATAGTGGACCTGTGATGTAACCCCACCGAGAAGCAGTTGGGCAGTTTATACTCCAGCTAGCATCGAACCCTGATTCATTCACCGACTGATTTCGAAATTCTCGATAGTTTTCAAACAGTAAATCACAAACAAGGACAGTTTCCTTAATAATTGTCTTTAAGAGGTTGCCTTTGTGGGACCAGAAAGTGGACTGTTTTTTTCGTAAGATATATTTTCAATCTGATCGGAAAGAAACTGAGCCACTTGATTTGCAGACCGTGGGGTCCAACATGTTCCCTTCCAACCCATTTGTTGCTCGGTTTAGCTCTGTCATTGGTTGTTTTGGGTTTTGCCCAATACCGCGTTGGAATGGGTAGCTTGTCCTTTTCGTTGAGCTGGTCAACCATTGGTTATTGTTTGTTGATTGCTCTGTCTATTTTTGACTTTTCACTCTCTTTTTATTCGGTAATATGATAAAATCATGTTTTAAAAAAAATTATTTTTTTCAAATAAAAAATACACTGTATCTCAGCATAAAAAACAAATAGATTATAATAGAAGTTGTTGGCAGTTAATATAAACAGGACATTGGGGATTTTCAATTTTTCATATAATAAATACTGTTACGAACTGAAATTCTTTTTTTTCTTGTTTTCAGCTTTTAAGGGATCTTAATTCTCAAATGTTTAAGGGAACTTGTTAACGTTTTCCTAGAACAAAAATCACATGAAAAAGCAAGTTTAAATTTCTCCGAATTACAGGTCCTGCCAGGTTTTTAAAGATAGGTTCCTTAGCCTGGTCCCCTCGACGTATACAATAACAGTCACGCCTCGAAATCAGATGTTCTTTACAGTCTGCACCAAAATGAAAATTTTCCCAGCTATAGCCATGATTTAAGGCGCTGTTATTTCTCATTTCGCATTGCCCTGGGACCGTGCAATTTCCATAGTAATTGACCTTCTTTGAATATTTTTGTTGAAAATGATGATAAATTTCGTGTTAATACAGCAATAAGGAGAAGAAATTGGACAAGTTCGCTCCAGTTGGTTGGAGTTTACATCTTAGGGAAATTGACGCATTATCGTTATCCTTTCGCATTGATTGAAGATGATAAGCAATCGAATTTCGAAATAGACGAGTAGACAGTGTGTCCCCTTGATACAGAGAATATTTATTATTTTATTTTAAAAGTGTTTTTGAAAAAAAAAAATTTTGTTTTAAATTGATTTTTTTTTATTTTAATGTTCCTATGTAAAAAAAAAATAAAAAAAGCTTGGATTTGTCTTTTAAAAAATAATAATAGCTTTAAATTTTTCTCAGTCGACCTTGAATTTATATGCTTGGCTCGATAGATGAGTTGACTTGTATACAGTTGTATACAGTCAGAAGAGCTTCAAATAGAGTTCATTGCTTTTTGGTGCTTGACTTTTTTTTTCTGGTTTATTTTATATTTTAATTGTTTTTCAAACTTAGTTTTGGATTTTTTTTAGTTGTGTTGGTTTTTTTATTTTTATTAATTATAAAATTAATATTTAGAAATTAGAATTTTTATCCTGAAAATGAGTTACTGTTCTTGGCACTACTTGATTTGTTCCTTCTATTTTATAGTGCTTGAATTCTTTATTTTCATGGAGGTTTGTAATTGTTTTAATGTGTCTCCCGTGTATCCACCAAACAAGAGACTCTTACTAACGCTTTCTTTTCCTGTTCTTAACTTTCATGAGACGGCCGAGGAGAACATGTTCCCCGTCGTTTATTAATGCGATGAATTATTAAACATATGAAGAATTGTATTGTTTACCGTCGCAAAAAACCAAAACACGGTCGAGTCGTCAGTATTTATCTGGTATATAATATTTTCTAAAAATGATTTTTAATTGAAAATAAATTAAAATATTTTTTCAATTTATTTTTTATTTTTGATATTAAAATATTAAAACCATTCAAGACTATCTAAAAAATCATTAATTTGATGCTTTTCAAATGAAAATCATTTAAAAAAATTAAATTATAACTAAAAATCAATTTTATTAATCACAATTTTTTTTTACAAAAAGAAAACCCAATCATGTACCCCATAAAACCTTAAAATTATAAAATAAATTCTCTATAATGACTTCTTGACGAATTATTAGGAAATATTGAATACATTGTTTAGTGTACTGAATAATTAATCGATATCTTGTTTTTCAATTTCTTGACATGTAAAATGCTTATAAATATGCTGGGCACAACTGGAACATTAATAGCTGGGCTCTTTCTTCGGGAGCCAGCTAGTTTTGAACAATCACCGTCTATCCTGAAAGAGGCTCTCAGAGATTTCACCCATCCGGTGAAAACGATGGGCCTGGCTTTTTCTCCCAACACGACAAGAATATACCCTATCTCGATCTTAACAGACAGTGTCAGCGACCCGTTTTCTCCATAGATACGAGGGTCCAGCATCCAGTCCATAGGAGGACCCATTCATCCAGAAGGCTGATTCGGGGGAGTTATTTTGTTCTGGCGAAAAAAAAAAAAAAGAAGTTCTGGTAATCGTCTCATGAACTATGGTCCATCAAGAATCTCCTTATCTTGGAATTAAATTGGGGAAGCTTTAAAGTAGGGATGATAATGGATATTGATTATGTTTTAAAATTCAAGATAGATAAATAATGAGTTATTTAATGTTCATATAGTGGTTAGTTAATATTTTCAAATAATTGAATTTTTTTTTAGTTCAAAAAATTCCAGTTTCATAATAAAAAATTAAATACATATTCAATACTTATAAAAACAATCTTAGTCAAGAGCATTTAAATATCTCTGATAATAAAATTAGTATATTTAAAATTAATCAATATCATAAATGAAACAATAAATATAATAGGTTCTTTAATAGGTCATATATATACTTATAAAAATAAAAAAAATCATTATATTAATATAAATAATTATCCTAGATAAAGAGGTATAGAAGTTTATCATGCTTTCAATAGTTTTATTTTAAAAGATTGTTTAGAATCATGGATATAAATTTAAAACTTAGTAGAGGTTGAATCTAAATGCTATAAGCTTTAAATGTTTGCTAGATGTCTATGTTCTAAATTTGATTGACCTTCAACTAGACTTGATTGACCTTTAAATCTTAGTGTTTTAGGTCAAATATGTTTGTTAAATTCACATTATATTGGACTTAGTTGACTATCAAGTCTGAGTTCTTTTAAACTTGACATGTTGTCAAACCCCTGTTACTTTTAGATTTGATTAACTCTCAAGTCCAAGTTTTTTTTTATCTGACATGTTTAATAGATTCACGTTATCTTAAACATGATTAACTACCAAGTTCAAGTTCTTTGCTTTTAATATGTTTGTCACATCCATGCTATATTGGGTTTGATTAACTATCAAATTCAAGTTATTTTGGTCTGACGTGTTTGATAAATTTATTTTATTTTTTAAGAATTTTTTAATTTATAAAAATCATAACAATATTTTGACTTATTAAATATTTAAGGGTTGAGATATTACTATATTTATATTTTATCTATTAATTATCAAAATAAAATTTAAAAAATCCATATATTATTCACAGGCTCTATGTATTTATTTGAATATTCTTTATTTATTATCTATCATTCAATATAAAATAAAAAAGTAAAATATATATTTGAGATGTGTGTGTATATATCAAAATTATATGTACAGTTGCTTGCTTTTCTGATATATATTTTTTTTAAAAAAACATACATTACCCTTTTTAATTGATTGAGTTCAGAATTCATGCTCACAGAGGCTGCACGATGAGAGAATGGACCCTAGCAGTACTGGAAGCGAGAATGATATAGCCCAAATGGCAAGTAATCTCAGCACAACCTTCATTTGATTCTCTATTGTATGGGCTAGCTGAGCTGAATCTTTGTGTAAGAGGAGAGTCGCTCTAAATCCCCGAGTTTCTGCTGGTTTGAGCTTGATTTTCACGCACCCTGTGGAATCCTGTACATTTGTAAGCTAAGTTGCCTTTTCATACGAAGGACAAGTAGAATTGTGATATTGTTCAAATCCCAATATTTATTCCAAAGAACAACTCAATTTTATAAAGATAAAATCCTATAGCATCTACCAATATTTCACATTGATTAGAAACTTAAAAATAAGCAACATATTATTTTTTTTTTAAAAACACATTTTAAATATATGTAGTTTTCAATTAATGTAATAATGCGGATTTTTTATCTCATTCACCTCTCACGAAACCCTTTAGCTCAAAAAAGAAAAAAGAAAAAAGAAAAAAAAGGGTAGTTTTAAATTCTAATGATACGAAGATTTTTATCTCGATGACCTTCTACGGAACCCTTTGATCTACCCTTTTTTGGGAGGAAGCCTCTTAGAAAGCTTGATACTTGATGAATAATAGGAGTATGACTAACGTTATCCTGTCTTCCTAACATAAAGATCTCCTTGCTTCTCTTAAATTGCATCTTCCATTCATTCATTCTGATCGAGTGGAGATAAAAGTGTTGGGAACATCATTTGACATGTACCGAAACCCTAATCGACACTCTTGAGTCTAGACTCAAGATTTGTTTCTGTGCAAAATTTCCAAGGATTGAAGTCCACATCCAGTCCCCGCTCCCCACCATACATCTGATGTTTGACAAAACTAGTTCCAGCGCCTAATGTGCCTATGCTGGGAAAAAAGAAGAAGAAAACGGAACAATTAATGCTCTCACATGCTGTGTTTTGGCCCTCACTGGTCTGTCTATTTGATTGAAGACTATATCAGGCAAAAAAAAACAATCAGTCTGAAAAAGATTACCATCCCTCGAAGGTATACATGATAATATGAAGATTTATTAATGTTTTGGCATGAAGTCTTGCGCAGAAGCTATTGAAATGTAAGAAATCCCAGGATAAAAGTTCTCCTCTCCCTACTGAAATGAGCTGCGACTACAGGGCTTATGTTCTGGAAAATATAAAAGTTTAATCTGAAGTATCTGTACATTTACTAGTAATTAACAGAGAGCCTGTGAATTGGCTCTGCAGGGTTGCCGAGTAAATTTAAAATCTTCAAGGCAGAATGATAAATGTTCTTTTAGATTTCAACAACATGCAACTATTAAGGAATTTACAAGGGACTACTAGCTTCAAAACCACAACTCGTGCAATGATCTTGGCATAGAACAAGCAAAGAGATCAATAGAATACTTTTCGTGGTGCTTATAATTAGAAAAATTAAGTTCACAGACATTACGTAGAATGTCACACACAAACAAATCCTAGCGAGCCCTTGCAAAGAAAATACTCAATTCTGGCCCTGCTGCACCATCAGGATTAATCATATACAGAGCTTCAGAGTCTTTGGATCCAACCACTCTCTCAAATCTGGCTCTAATGTACGTCAATTCCCCGTCAGCTGATTCCTTCTCACTATTTGGGCAAGGAAGCACACCTGCGCCCATTGAAACACCTCTCAGAAGTTGCATGACATGAAGCTCATCATCAGACATTTGCTTCCTCCTTATACAGTACCCAACCTTTCTTCCATTACAATACACACCCCAAACAAACTCCTCCAGTAGTTTCTTTTTATGAGTCTTGGTTTCGCTCTCAAGTGCGATCCTTACTATATCCGATGCCATCTCTTTGTGAAATAGACTTGAGTGCATCGGCAGCTCTATAACAAACATCGGCACACAATGAGGATCTTCTTGTATGGCTAGACTAACTCTGCCTTTACGATAACCAAAAATGGTACCTGTTGTAGCATGGTCCTTAAGTAAAGGTTTTCGAGGTCTGCCTAAAAGTGCAACCATCTTGCAACCTGATGTTAGCATGGGGAAGAGCTTGAACACTTTAAGAAGCCCACCGCCACTAGATTTTGATCGTTTCTCGCTTGCCGTATGCCGGAGCAAAGACAGTATGGCCTGGTTGTCCATTTGGAAGTAAGGGCTAGAATGTACTGGTGGCATCGTTGGGCTAATTACTGTAGTGCTATGCTTTAAAATTCAGGAAAAATAAAGGGCGATGGTGTGTTTGAGGCTTTGAGCTATTGATCAATTACAAAGATACATATAAGGGGAGGTGTAGGGATTAAAAAGAAGAGTTAGGAAGGTGGTTGGTCGCTCTGGCTGGATAGTCCTTGGAATCCTTTTGAAGTGGGAAAGGGAAAGGAGAGACCCCCCAAATTGGTTGTGAGAAGGAAAAATGAGTCCTAATGTTTTGATGTGACCAAGTTCAGCGATGAAGAAAAAGAGGGGGATTGAATGCGATAAGATAAGAGGATTCGGACCACATAATGTGAGGAAAGGGAGGGAAGAAAAAAAACTCGAAAGATGATAAAAGGGACTCTGGTAATGTTGGCACGGGCATGTGCCTCTCTGATCATTACATAGGGCATCGACATCACTTCTTTATGCTTTGCCTGACCCCCCCTCCCCTCCCTAACTCTCACTAATTATTGAGGTGCAGCTCATCTTTCCTCAATTCATTTCGCCATGGAAATTCTGCTTTTGCTTGTGGGGCGACTCTACCTTTTGCTCCCAATCTGCCATCCTTTTCCGTGTCAGACCATAGTCTTATAATTCGGTACAGCTATTCAGACAACAGAGAAGTGAAAAACTGGCTCATGTGTTCGTGTATTACTGCCAAGTATTAAATACTAGGTAACGTTCTTGCTGTCTGCTTTTCAAGTCATGGAGGTTCGAAAACTATAGCCTCTCATACCAGTCTGAATTACTTGCTTATTGTTGGGAAATCATCGCATTAAATCCTGATACACCTAAATTTCTCTTACAAGACCTGGGCTTCGTTTAACATTCTGACGCGGCCGGTGTGATTAAAGACGTTCTTAGATTCCCAAAATTATTTTTCATCTCAAATTACACAGTAAATGTACCAGCACATCTTTAGTTAACAGGAGTGTCCACATGTACCAGTTAGTGTCCATGATGGGTCCTTCGAAACGACTGGATAAAAAGGAAGGAGTATTGTCGGCATCAACATTGGACACTAATTAGCATTTCGACAAGTACTAACTATTGATTTGTGGGTGAAAACTGATTTGTGGCAGGAATCTCTTATGATCGATGTACATATAAACAGTCTCCTGTTGGGTTAAACTATTTCGTTTGTACCCACCACTGGTCAGTTTGAGAAATTTAAGAAAGGGCAGCTAAAGTTCTGTAATCATTCTGCTGATAACTTTGATAATATGCTGGACGGCCGAAGTCTTCGAAAGAATGTTAGGGCTGGTAATGTTTCTACGTATACAGCCGATTTCTACTTGAGCGTTGCATGTACTGAACTGAAGTGCTTGTCCAAGCTTCGAACCTGTTATGTCCTGATATGGGAAGTATAATTTTTATGATTTTTTTTTAATTATTTATAATGTGAATGGCTTGTGTTTTATTGGATTAAAAAGATATGTTTACAGAGGTTTTCCCAGCTTTTTTTGTGCTAATAACTCCATATATGAGTGTTAAAAAAGAGAGTAAAAAATAACCCTCCTGTTCTACTGATAAAATGCAGGTGGTGCCTGAATAAATTACCCGGCATCAATAGTCCTTAAATAAATTAAAGATTTAATCAGTTCATTTCGTTAACTATGTCTAGATTTCCATCTAATTGATGCTAGCTACACATATACCATAAATTTAAACAAATTAATTATTTATTTGGACAAAAAAACCCCTCCAAATGATCATTTGTCTATAATAAATCTGAAAAAAAAAATAGTTCTAATAAATGTTTGTCGTGTGTCCATTACAAGGGCAATAGATTGGTAACACGTAAATTTCATATGTTTTGAGTTAATTTCAATTTAATGAAAAACCAGGTTTGATTAATAAAAATCTAATTAAAACCTTCAATTTTGTACCAAGACTATTGAGATTAAATAATTTATGTAAAAACTATTTATATTATAATACTTTTTATCCAATGTTTCTTGAATTGATTCCCCTTTAGCACATGCAGTGATTGGACAAAAGGTGTACATATTTCTGCAATCACACTTCGCGTGTAAGATCAACCAACAAAGTTGGTTTCCATATCTATAATAGAGAGAGGAAGGGGCAAATTCCATTGATGCAACATAAAGCTAAGATCACATCCCTCATCCAGTGATAGACCCCAACGTTTCGTGAGGTCAGATCATTTGTCAAGTTCACTTTAATACTTTTATGTTTTTATTACTGTAGGTGTCTTGATATTTTAAAGTTAATAATTATATAAATTTTTAATAATTTTAATAATTATAAAATTTAAATTAATAATTTTTTAAAAATAAATCTATAATTTAACTAGTTAAACTACATCCTTTAAAATTAACTTACTTTAATACTATTAAAGACTAGGCAGCTAGTAACATAAAAGGATAGATTTTGATAATTATAGCTTGGAAGAAATCTTTCATGATGGGTGTTAGTTTAAAATTGTAATAATTTTTGTGATTATAATTTTAAAAAATAAATTTAAAGAAATACATAAATCATAACTTTTTCTTAACTAAGTTTTTAAAAGAAAATTCACATTAAAATTCATATAAAACTATTATATGTATTGATTAGCTAAACAATAAAATATAAATAGCAAAATATCACATCATAGAAATAAATATAAACTTAGTCTGGGATTGTTTTTGTGATTGAAAACTAATTAGCTAGTAACCTTAAAGGATAAATTTTAATATCTATGGTTTGAAAAAAATCTTTTACGATCAATTTCATAAATATTTTAATGCGATTTAAAACTAATTAGCTAGTAATCTTAAAGGATAAATTTTGATATCTATGGTTTGAAAAAAATCTTTTATGATCAATTTCATAAATATTTTAATGTATATTTAGTATTGTGGTAGTTTTTTTAATTATAATTTTAAAAAATTAATTTAAAAAATCTATAAATCATAATTTTGTTTAATTAAGATCTCAAAATAGGATTTTCAATAAAATTCATATAAAACTTTTATGTTTAACTAAATATTTTTAAATCTATAAGATAGACGTAGTCTAGGATTGTTTTTGCGCTAGCTTTAAGAGTGAATGACTTGGAACATTGTTTGACAAAATGCATGTTAGAAAGAGATCTTGGAGATTAATTAAAGAGATAATAAAATGATTCTACATTCTAAGCAGCCTTTGTCGTCGTCTTGTCGCCTTCCAATTATTGTGGCTGTGATAAGACATTGCGTGATTGATTTTCCATTTCTTATCTTTAGTATATGTGACGTTTAACTGCTTTCGCGATTATAGCTTAACTCGAGAGCGAACTTGGCCCCTTCATGTAATCTTGTTGATTTTTAAGGTCATGATTGATGACCCAACATGACAACTCGAGAAAACTCTTATTTGTCTCAGAATACAAGTGTAAGTGGTGATAAAATATTGCTTATCCGAAGTTCATTAATCACAATAATAATGAAAAAACCCTAATTAGTGCGTGTGTAATTCCAATCTACAGAAAGATAGGCTTATACTTCGTTTACAAGACAGGGATTCTTCATTTAAAACTTCGGCACCCACCCAGGGAGGGAGAGTGGAAAAGGGGAAAGGTTGCAAATAATTTCCGATGAAATGTTGTATAAGTCCACCAGAAAACGAAAATTCACTGAAGAAATCCACTTACTGGCTACTGCTCTAGAAGCAGATTGCCTGAATATAAAAATATAAAAATATTAAAAAAGCTAACTAAAAGGATGACTATTTGCCAATTGGGTAGACAAGCTCCATGCTCTTCACCATCTATAAGATAAAAAGACGTGTTTTTTTTTTCTATTTTAAAAATATAAAAAATTATTTTGTGTTTTCATCCTCATATTTTTTTGTCATCAAATAAAAACCTAACATTACATAATACATCCAACGAAACCTTGTATGTTCGCCGTGATCTGGCATGGACAAGGAGCAGTTAGGATAGCTATCTTCGATGATAAATATCGATAGCTGAGATGCTGGCTCGTTTGAGATTTGAGAGTGGATACCGCACACCATAAACAAACGGCTTTTAAGGAAATTTCTGCACACTTTCTTTCGAGTTCATCATTGTTTATTGAAAGAGGTCCCATGCCGTACTGCATGGGAGGGTTATAATTTGTTCAAACAACATCATCCTCGAAAGGTAAAATTATGTTTTTCATGCTTGCCATTTGCCAGCCAAAAAGAAGCTTGCATGTTGTAGTACACCATACCGTCCCAAGGTTTTCTTTTCCTTTTCCCTTTTCATTTGTTTACTTATTTACTATTTCCATATCTCCGGGGGCGGAGCAAAAAGAAAAATTAAAGAGGGCAGATTAAAAGAATTATTTAAAAAAGGTTAAAATTTTAATTATTTTGCTATTAAAATTATAAATACTGACAAGGAAAAGGTTGAGAAAAACATTTCATTGCAAAGACGGAGACCTGCCAGCCCCCCGCGTCGGCCACTGCATGTCTCTTCTCTTCTCCACTTTGTCTTTCTTTTCCAATCGTTTGATCATGTATTTTCCTGCATATCTACCAAAGACACACCCGCCATTTTCTGTTCTTAATTTTACATAGCAATTCTTTTTCTAGCACAATTGCAGGTGTTTGATCTCTTTAAGAGAAAGAATTAATAATGAATTTCAAAATATTGATGGTAATTTGTGAACAAAAGGTGGATATCCATCCTTAAAGAAGCTTTTTTTTTTTTTTTTGCTGAAGATAAAAATTCCGTTCAAGAAAAAGGCGTTCTCGTCTAAATCTAAGCCAGTCAATATCTTGACTATGATGCTTTTAATATAATATCAACTTCATAATATATCTCCAACACCAACATGTAAGTTCCACGTCACCTATAATTAAAAATAAAATCAACATTGAAGAAATAGGTTAATTACTTTTTTATTGTTTTCTATTTATTAATCACATAAATCCCTAAATAATATAGAATAAGCATCTTAAATCAGTCATAATAATACATGCAGTACATTACTAGCCATTTATTTTGCGTATAAAAACTCAATTTTTTTAATAAATAAAATCCCAAAAATATTATAATACAAATATAATAAAATTATATCTAATTTCATAAAAATATCAAATTGGATTTTATTATTTTATATAAATTTTATTTTTATCGTTTTATATAAATTTTCTTTTTATTGTTTTATATTAATTTTGTATTATGTTTCCTGATAATTTCATTGATTTGTAAGGAACAATATTTATTAAAATAATTTCTACACATAATCACACTGTTTGTAAATTCTATTTATACCACATATAATTTTTAAAAAAACTCTTTTAAATAAAAAAATCCATTCAAATATCATAGTATCGTACTAGACAGTAATGGGACTTAAGAAATACAGTTGTTCACATAATATAC